AATCGGCAAGGCGTCGCGCTCGCCGAGGCCGATTCGAGCGCGCGTTGAGGTACGAGCGAGACGTCGGCAGTTGACGCCGAGACAGCCATAGCGCTGGCGCCGACTCGGCGTGGTTACCTTGACATATACCCTGGTTTTCCTGACAGATGGTCATTCTGTATCACGCACGTTCTTTCCATTTCGTTCTATTGTGTTCCCCGACATTCCTTTCCATATGGTATACCCCTACTTCGTTACGTGGCATTCCCGATTTGTATGTTACATGACAGTCGCCCAGATTCCACTTATACCAGACGAGTAGTTACATTCACCTCAGCGTTCGTCTTGCCTACGCGACGACTGAGGTGAGACTCTTTTCGTGCCCGTTGATTATAGACACGTACTTACATTCCTTTGTAGTTCTGACCTACGTGTCTAGGTAATGCACAGCGTTCGTCTTGCCTACGCGACGACTGAGTTCTGACCTACGTGTCTAGCGCGTGTTGCTACTGCTTGTACCTCCTTGAGGTTATGAGCCCCGCTCCCAACGTCTACATCGATTCACAACTCTGCCATGTCGTCCTCACAGCCCATCACCACCGATACCCTTCCCTCAAACGTTCCCAAGCTCGACTCCCGAGGCGCCAACTGGGCAATCTTTGCGATCCGCTTCACAACCGGCGTCCAGGCAAAGCCCAAGCTGTGGGCACACTTCACTGGTGCTGCAACTAAGCCGGTTGCAACCACAGCGCCCGTGCCGGCCACTGCAACTGCGTCGCAGGCTGCGCCAAGCACTACAGGCGTGACTGTACCCCCTCAGCAGCCGCCGACAGCGCCACAGCTATCGCCCACGCAGGTCGCCGACCTCGAGAAGTGGGAGGAACGCGAGAGCCTCGCCAAGAACCTACTCCTCGGACGCCTGCCCGACTCCACAGTGCTCAAGATCAGGAGCATGGGCACGGTCGCCGAGATGTGGGCCAAGGTCGAGCTCGAGTATACCCAGAAGGGCGCGTTTGCACAGACCGAGTTACGCTCGGAGTTCCTCAATTCCAAGTGCCGAGGCGGCGATGTGCGCGTCTGGTTGGATGGCCTTCGAACCAAGAAGGAGGAACTGGCTGCAGTCGGCGTCGATATCAACGACGCCGACTACAGGTCGACCATCATATCTTCTCTCCCAAAAGCTCTTGCGAGCTTTGCGTCTGGGCAACTTACTGCCGCCCGCCTCTACAGCCCCACCGGCACGATCGACCCGGATACCCTCATTCAGGTCATCGGGGAGGAGTCCAAGTGGATCAGGTCGGCGTCAGGCGGGCGCGCTGGAGACGCGAAGGACGGCGACGAAGCCATGGCTTTCGGTTCTTCGGGTGCGCGTGACAGCTCGGGATGAGGAAGAGGTCGGAAGTGCTGGCATTGCGACGAGGTTGGACACCTGCGCAGGGAATGCCCGAAGCTGAAGAAAAAGTCCGATGGAGGGGCGAAGGACAACGCCCAAGGTTCAGCCAATGCCGCCATCGACTCTGACTCCAACAGCGATGCCGCCTTTGCGTTCTCGGAGGCTGGAGAGTCCGACTGGGACACACAGTCCTCGGTCAGCAACGACGACGCCGACTCCATGCCTGGTCTCATGAGCATGTCAGATTCTTCAGACGACGACTCTGACGACGATTTTGACGCATCGGATTCGGATGTCGAAAGTGTTGTCGCGGACTGGTGCGATGACAACGACACCACAGGCAGCAACGACGATACCCCAGGCGACCACGAGGCTGCACCGGCCACTTGCGACGAGTGGGCTGTGCATGTGGAATCAGCCACGCGCGTGGAACGCACCACATTCACCACCGAGCTATACGACTCCGGCGTGACACGTCATATTTCGCCTTACCACTCTGACTTCGTGGACTTCACTCCAATTACCCCTCACCCGTTCACCGCTGCGAACAAGCAGGTGTTCCATGCGATTGGCAGGGGAGACCTTGTCATCCAAGTCCCGAATGGTGTCGACGTCTCTCAACTGCGCCTCACCGAAGTTCTGTACTCGCCCGAGGTGGGATTCACCCTTGTCTCTGTCGGCCGCCTCGACCGGCAGGGGTACGAAGCCACATTCGGACAGGGGAGGTGCACGCTGCGCGGTCCTGACGGCTCTGTCATCGGTCAGATCCCCCAATCAGCCAAGGGGTTATACCGTGTCGTGCACGACGGTGTCGAGTCCGCAAGCACCGCCACTGATGAAGTCACCATTATGGAGCTTCACCGCCGCTTGGGGCACATCTCGCCGAGTGCCGCACGCAAGCTCGCTCAGGATGGCCTGGTCACCGGTCTCAGGCTCAGCGAGTCCCCCGACGAGCCCTTGTTCTGCGAGTCGTGCGTGTATGCTAAGGCCACGCGCAAGCCTGTAGCAAAGGCAAGAGAAGGGGAGCGTGCAGAAGCCCTCGGCGATGAGGTGCACTCGGATGTATGGGGCCCGGCACCGGTCACAACGCTCGGTGGCCGCTGGTACTACGTTAGCTTCACGGATGATCACAGCCGGCTCACGCATCTGTACCTACTCAAGCAGAAGAGCGACGTGTTTGATGCCTACAAGGAGTTCGAGAGCCTGTGGTCCACCCAGCACCATGCATCCGTGAATGTCCTGCACTCGGATCGAGGGGGAGAATATCTGGGCAAGGCATTCACCGCGCACCTCTCGCAAGCCGGCACCAAGCAGAAGCTCACCGTACATGACACCCCGCAGCACAACGGAGTCGCCGAACACCTCAACCGTACCCTTCTCGAGCGCGTGCGTGCCATGTTGCACGCCAGTGGTCTCCCGCGCTTCTTGTGGGGTGAGGCAGTGCATCACGCCGTGTGGTTGAAGAACCGTACACCGACACGTGCACTCGACGGCATGACACCATACGAAGCTGCACACGGTCGGCACCCGGATTTACGTGGTCTTCATGAATGGGGCTCCCCAGTGTATGTGCGCCGTGAGGGTGGCACCAAGCTTGGTGGTTGTGTCGAGTCCGGGCGGTGGGTGGGTGTGGATGCAAGGAGTGCGAATGGGCATCGTGTTTACTGGCCGAAGTCGCGCAGCATCACAGTCGAGCGGAACGTGTACTTTGGGTTGCCGAGTGACAGTCGCGAGGGGGAGGAAGAGTCAGGCGCAACTGTCCCTGCCCTGGCACCGCTTTCGGACGATTCCCAGGCCCAACCAAAGTCTGATGCCGCGACCCACGCTCCCTCGTCTCATTCTGGCGATGCTGCCGCTGACGCACCTCCACCCTTACCTCCTGCTGATGCCGATGATGTGCAACCCGACGCAAGCGATGCCCAAGATGCCCGCCCCAAGCGAACGCGTCTTCCCAGCCAGCGTGTTCGCGACATACTCAGTGGTGCGGGCTCCAGCTCTCACCGAGCGCGGGATCCCAAACTCGCTCGTGGCGTGCAGCTTCCGACCGGCCAAGGCGACGAGTCAGACCTTGAGGGGGAGCATGAGGTCAGCATGATGCTGGCGCTCGAGGAGCTTAGGCTCGAGGAGGCCATGGACTATGCTC